TAAGTAACACATGTTCTGTGGTTGTGGCACGAAAAGACCATGAATGGGCTACAAAACAGCCCGTGTTATTTCAAGTGAAAACAGGCGGGGGGGGGATGTGAAACCAAAGGAAAATGCAATGACAGAGAGAATGAGGGAGAAGGAAGGAAAGGAAGGAAGGGATGAAGGAGCTGTTTGGAACAGGATCAGAAGAAACAGATCCCTGGAAATCAGCACTTCTGATACAGGACTGGGGGTAGATCTCGTAATTTCTTCTGCCAGTGCACATCCTTCCCAGCTGTGGTTATCTCAGGCTGGGGCTGTACAAGCAAAAGGTGAGAGTGTGTGCAGTGGTGCAGCAGTTCTCACCTCGTCAAGCATGGTCAGATTAGACAGACTGCTGCAGATCAATACTCCAGGCTGCTCCCTGTGCCTCCTGTGCCAGGGACCAGTTTTTCTCCCCAGATGCTCTCTGACTGTACAGAGACATAAATTTGAGCTGAAAATATCTGTTGTTCTGGTGTTTACAAAGGAAAATATCAAACCAACAATGTGGGCGCACTTTTCTACTACCTTGTACAGGCTTAAAATATTTTTGTAAATAAATAAAAAAAAAAATATTTCTTACTACTTTCAAAGGGATACTTTCAAGGGGATAAAGTCAGTGACAAAGTGCCTTGTATTTTTCTGTGATGAACATGTCAACTGTATTCCCACAACTGTCCACACAGAAACAAAGTACAGGTCTGTACAAATTCAATAGCTCCTTCAGGAGGTTTATGCTGCCATTCAGGTTGGGTATAGAGGGGACTGGAGTCTATTTTAAAGGTAGAAAAATGGTGATTTTAAAAGGCTGCAGGCAAAAAAATCCCCTCTTATAAAGATTACAGAAGGGTCACTTAGAGTCTGATAAACCTGAATGAAGAGCCAGAGGGATTTTTTTGTTGGACTTGGAAGTGCAGCAAGACTGAAGCTTTATGCCTTTGAAATAAAATGGTAAAAGGGAAGCACAAGATTTTACTTTGGTAGTTCAGGAAATATTAGTCTTGTAAAACAGAGTAGCTATAGATTTCCTTGGTCCTCTAAACATCTCTTTTCACTTCCTTGATGCAGCCTTCCTAGAAGACACCATCACTTACCAGTAAAAATACATATTAGATCTGGTTTTACAAAACATAGTATATCTAACATCTCATGATATATAAAGAGTGCTAGCAGGCAGGGGAGTCAAGTTGCCACTCAGGTTAGAATTTACACGTGTGATTTCTAGTCCCTGTTCCTCTGCTCTACAACAGGCAGGTGAAAAATGTTGAATAAGCTAAGCACCTTGTGGGAAAGAATGCACAGTCAGATATTGATCTGTATTTATTGCCATTACTGTAGCAGGCTGGTATTAGTGAGATGGGGTTGTCACTGTCTGAGAGTAAAATGTCTGTGGGAATGGAAGCCCATATCAGAACCACTGGGGACCTGCAGAAGTACAGAGAATCAGACAAGGCCAAGCCATAAAAAATCCAGTATGATATAGAGTTTGTGAACAATTTCTTAATTGAAGGAAATGCAAGTGTGAAATAGCCATCACAAAGACCTTGATGCCCAAAGGTCTGCACCATGGTCTTCTGCTTACCCAGATACATAATGCAGAAGAGGTGGAGGAGGGGAACTGCTTTTACTGCTCCAGGTAGGAGAATGGCAGTGGACCTGCTGTTTTGTCCCAAAGCAGAAAGGCTGAGAACACTAACTCTGAAGATAGAGGAGCCTCCATAACACAGGGTATCAGGAATGGACCTGTCCTTGATTGCAGTAGGTCTGGTCTCCGGAAAAGCCCATGAGTAAGACAGGTTCAAAACTCAGTAAACACCATTTGCAAGCTGAGTTGCTTATGATGGATGTAAATGTAAGTAGTTGGTGTTCAGTGAGACTGGATTGGAAACTTCATTCTTTTTCTAAGCTTTTTCTTGACAGAATAAATTTTGGCTAGAGAGGCCTTTGGTATGGCCATGTCAGAAAACAGACCTGGTATGAAGCAACTCCACAACCTCTCTAACAGGGACTGCAGAACATCATCACCCACTTCAGTTATGATCTGAGCTCTGAAGTTAGGGCAGGCTTTTCAAAGAAGTGTGGCAGCCTAAGAAACTGCAGCAGTGAGGGGGGGAAGGGAATTTTGGAAAAGAGAAGTGGCAAAGCAAGAACTAAAAGCAGGGGACAGATGGCATGAAGCTGTGTCAATGGGGAAGTGGGAAGGTGCAAAAAGGGCATATTGCAAGTTTGCAGCCCAGTCAGGCTGAAGCAAATTGCTCCTTACCGTGGTGGGGACTCAACACACAGAGAAAAGTTCTCATGGCCACTCAGGATTGCCTGAGAGAGAGCTCACTTCAAATAAATCCTATCAGGACCCAGGGTAATGAGAATACATGCTGTGACCATGTGCTTCCTCCATGAAAGAATCCTCCCTGCTACTCTGTCTGTGCTGAAGAACAAGCCTCCTGCTCAGTTCCTGCCCTCCTGTGCAGGGCTGTGATGTGCAGATACCATTTCTGAAAGACTCCCTCTTATCCTTTGCCCATAATCCTTGAGGAAGCAGAACACCAGAGAAAGAGAGGGAGAGACAGGTGATCCTCGTTGCTTTAGATCCTTGTGGGGGGAAAAATGGTATCATGCATTTCCTGCCTTGTGACCCAGCTCAGGACCCTGAAAGTCTCTCAGAGCAAAACTATCTCACTGAGCAGTTCTTTCTTGTAAGTGTCTCCCTCAAACTCAGTGAAGGGAACAAGAAACCCTGAATGTGTGCCTGCCTTTCCTCAGCCCCACTGCACATGCAGAAGGAAACTCGTGTCAAGAGCACCTCTTGGTGGTGTAAGAGGACATCAAAGCAGCAGCAACTGATCTGTATGTGCTCATTTTGGGCTTATGTGCCTCCTTCCTGCAGGTTCCTTCTTTTTTCTGCAGAATGTACAAATGAGAGATTTTAATGCAGCAGGTGCCAGTTGTTCTCAGAGTGATTACTATATATGCTATTTGAATGTAATATCCCATTTTTAATAATTTAAATATGATGGAAAGAAACACCCTAGCAGTTTTTATGTGGATCCCTATTGTCCCCCTACAGAGGCACCAGTGGAGGAAGGATTCCCAGCATAAACCTCTGACTGGACGAGAACTGATTCCATAGTGGTTGCAGGGAATCATCTTCCAAAAGTAATTTGCCCAGAAATGGGTTCTTGCTGGGACTTCCACAGCTCATTGTCGGCCATGCAGAATTTACAGTGTCTTTGACATGGGGCTCACCTGAACAATCCCTCCTACCTGATCAATTTAACTGGTTTTCTTCTTCTCCAGTCCCTTCCACACTGCCACTCCAATAAGCCCATGTGCTAGACAACAAGGACAAAAGCACACACTGGGGTTCAGCAGGTCAGTGGTCCTTGTTTATCCCTGCCACCAGGTCCTATTGGGCCACTGGTCAGTTTTCTATTCAGTCTGCCTTACCTTGAATCCCATCCCTAGCACTGTCATATGACTTACTCTCTCCCAGGTAAGACTCAACGTATTCTCCAGCTCTCCCCAGCTCTTTTCCCCTCAGTCGCCATCCTTCTCACTCTGGGTGTTCACTTTCTTTTCTTCCCACCTGCTTCTCCCCAGACACATAAGATTTATTGAAAACCTTCAGAGAAAAATATATGGGGAAAAGTGAACTGTTCCTTTGGAGAAGATGATTCCAACTGTAGTATTATGAGAAAGGGGTTAAGTTGCTGACTGCCTGTTCCAGGCTGCCTGCCCAACCTAGGGTTCCTTGAATCTCCAGATACTCTATCAGCTCCAGCTCCCTAAGCCCTCACTTGTCATCCAGATGTCTACCACAGAGAGCTCTCAATGTGTCCGACTGCCCCAGGGGGTTATAATGGTTGTTCTCCATCCACCAGTAGCATTCTCTAGAACTAGGTACACCTGCCTTCTCGTCTGAGTCCCCATCTCCTGGCCCATTACATTCTGTGTCTGCCTGTCCTTTCCAGCTCCCCTCTGTAACAGCCTTTGTTCCTCTCCCTTATATCCTTCTCTGACCTGTATTCCTGTGGCCTGTTCCTGCTCTCACTTGCAGAAGTGTCATTGGGTTTCCTTCCTCCCCTTTCCCTACCCCCCACAGAGGGAACACCTAGTACAGCTGGTCACTTTGTGCTTCTGAAATAGCTGCAAGACTTGGAAACATTCCATGGTTGAAGATTTCTGGGTTGTGGCCAGTGCTGAGTGACAGATGGGAGAGCTCTCTTCCAGAGCAGGTCAGTCACAACAGCCTCCCATGGCTGCAGCAGCGCAAAGTTCATCGACCTTTGGAGAAATGCTTTTATTCAGAGATCCTTCCTTCAGGAATATCCCAGCTTGCAGGGGCTTCTCTCATCCACCAGTATTGGTTCTCACGGTACTGTCAGGGGAGAGAAAACAGTTAATTGCATGCCTTGATGCATTTGCTCGCCTTCACGGTGAACACACAGGTTCACACAACACTTCTTTGTACTAGAAGTCTGGGCAGGTGAGAAAGTGAGGGAGTACCTTCTCCCCACAGGAGAGGAGGGATAGAGCAGCCAGACATACGGTGGCAGTTGCTTCCTAGGGGATGCATAAATTCCCTGTTCAGCCTTCACAGAGGAATTGTTCCTTGTGATGTTTCACCCTTGATGCTTAGGGGCCCTGGGAAGACCTGAAAAACCTTCATTAGCCCTCATCACCCCACTACTCCCACTTCAGATGCCCTTCCCTGCTTATATCTCCTCCAATGTTTGGATAATAAAGGAGGGAAGAGAAAAATCCACCCCTCTGCTTTCTCACCCCACTTCGAACCCTTGTTCCGTTACCCTGGAAAAGCAGTTTGGTGCCCTCAGCCATTCACTGCAATGAGACGGGAAGGGTGTGTGTGTGAGAACAAAAAATATTAGAGTAGTCATCATCCCAGCCATGAAGCCACGCCTGCTCCGCCTTCAGCTAACGGCCTCTGCCACAGAGCTGCCTTGCGGTGGGAGGGGAGGAGGGCCCAGAGGGTGATTGTCGAGTAAAGTTCCCTCTTCCACTTCCTCCCTCCTTGCAACCTGCTATTCACTGCAGCACAAGGGCTGATACCCACATTTGCCCATCTCTCCCTGCTGTTTGCCTTGGCCTGACTTTCCTTTGCCCCGGGCACTGTCCTCCACTACGGGTCCAGAGCCATGCAAGCCATCAAGTGTGTCGTGGTGGGAGACGGGTAGGTACCCTGCGGGTTTGCTGTGGTTGCGGGGAGGGATAGGCAGTGACAAGGGGCATGAAAAAAAGGTGTCTGCCTCATGAAACTTCCCCAGCTTTGCTTCTGACCTCCTACAGGCTTGCTACTACTTGCTCGCCCCTCCCTCCCCAGGGCAAGGGACTTTCCTCTGGGGAGAGTATGGAAGAGGGCATTTTGAAGGCCATCCTGTCCCATGCACAGGAGGTGATGATGTTCCTGCCAGATTCAACCTTGTAGGCAGGGGTCAGATTTAAAACCTGAGAGGTGCAAGTGCTGTCCTGCAGGTGAATGGCTCCTTCCTTGAAAGCCATCTGCTCACCGGGAATGACTGGGAGAGGGAATGGCACTATGGTCCTGATGAGGTGTCCACCAGGATCTATGTGTTCAGCTTTTCTCAGTGCATAATCTCTCTATTGGGGTATAGTGGAGATTGTTGGCAAGGAGTTTCTGTGGGCATGAGGAGGAGAAGCCCTTTCCACTGAGATAGGTACAAGTACAGGCCACTTTGGGGGTGGGAGGTAACAAAACCTTGCCTTCACATCATGGTGGCTTCATTGCCCGTGATTCCTGGAAATGGCCTGATCCAAGCCGTCAACAAGTGAAACAGTCATCACTGCTTGGAGCAGGAGGGATGGAGTGGACAGGGCCTCTTCTTGCCCTGTGGGATGAATAGATGTGATGGAGGGAGAGAGGAAAATCCACATTCGGAACGGAGTAGCTTAATTCATTTCCCATCTGGAAGCTGGCCAGGCTATTATCTGGGGCAGCTATTACGTAGCTAATGAAGAAACATTTGCAGCAGTCCTGCTCCCCACAGTCACTTCCTCCTTCAAAACTCGCCTGGGGAAGAAGTCATCTGCAAACATAAGAGTACATGTCAGACATGTTCTCGGGGGCTTGAGTAAGGGAATGGGGACAAGGGACAAGGAAAGACAGAGCCCCAAATAAAAAAACTTTACCTCTAAGAAAATTCCTCTGAAGGCTTCAAACTAGAGCTGGATGAACAACTCCACTGGGCATTTCTGTGTTGCCCTGTTACCCACCCCCCTAGTTTGCCCATCACACATTGCACCAAATCTGTAGCTTTCCCTCAAGGCAGTATTCCCCTCATATCATGGCTAACCTCACAACATGTTCTGCTCTCAACCCTCTGACCTCAATTCCTCTTAAATGTCTTCTGTCCCATCATTTTGCTTCTCTGTACACCTCTCACCATCTTGCAACACAGCAGTCCATTCATCCCCCATTGCTCTGAGCTCTTGACTCACCACCTCTCACCTCCCTCCCAGCCATACCAGCCATTTTTCCCTCTTGCCTCAACCCTACCAACCACATTACTCAGCTAAGCCTGCATGTTGCCCCATAGCTGTTGTGCCCCCATAGACCCCTCCATCGCACATCACTGTCCTCTTAACACTCCCTGAGTTCAGTCACAGGAACCTGCAGGTGTCACTAACCTCAGCTCTGTTTTAACCTTCATCCGTTCACTGACCCTTTGTGCTCCTCTCTGTTCAACCACACCAATTCAGAAACTCCACCTCTTCCATGACTGACCCACTCACAGGCCCATAGATCTCCTGAAATATCACCTGTAGAGTTTCAACAAGCATCCATGGCCCTCCCTCAATATCTCTATGATAACAGGGAAGCAATGGAGCTGGGGAAAATGCAGGGACTGAGAGAGGAGGATCTAAGAAATTGGAGTGGCAGGGGGAAGAAACAAATGTCAGAGCACACCAAAGAGCTCAGCTTCTCCTCAGCTGCCCCACAGTCCAGTGACTGAGACAGGTGCCTTGTGAAGATAGTGAAGATACCAGCCGTGCCTGTCAAGGGCACACAAAAAGACAGGGCTGCAGCTCTGTGACAGGGACTTTGCAGGTACAGCTGAGATGGTTTCAGCATCCTCAGCAGCAGAATTCCAGCCTTTGCCCCGGGAAAGACATCTCCCATATCCTGTGGCTGTGCTAGCAGAGACAGGTTGCTCTCATTACCTCCACCTCAGGTGTTCTGTAACTGAAACATGGAAGGGCTTTCCCAGGCCACACAAACCTGAGAAATAGGATCCCAGCAGGAGAAGGATTTTCTTTCCTGCACCTGTCCTGGCTGCTTTTTTTTTCTACCAATTTCTTTTCACTTATTCTTTCCCTCACCACAGTCTTCGCCTTGCTCACAACAACTCCTCCTCCACTTCATAGCCTTATTTCTCCTTATCCCACCAATACTCTCACCCGGTCTGGATTGTGCTGCTACCCTGGCTTATTCGCGCTCCACCCTGCTGCAGCATGGGTGTGTAGGTGGCTAAGGAGAGAGGAAGCACCAGCTTTTATCCCAGAAACATCAGCAGCAGCCTCTGTCAGCCATGGGGTACAGGCACCTTGCTGGCTGCTTACAGCTGTCTGTGTGGGTGATGCTGCAGCTTACTGTAGATGGGAAAGACTGAGACATGCCATGGCTAAGTCAGGAAGAGTTACTACCAATTCCTGGCCACAAGACCTTCAAAAGCAAGCAGGAGTGCCTGTATTTGAGTGCTGAGGCTGGCTCTGCAACTTTGTCATGGCACTGAATCAGTGCACCAGCCCTGGTTGTGAGTATACAGCACTGTGCATGCTCTGGAAAATGTGAGGCTCTCACCTCCATCTCAGAGTGGATGTGTTTTAGCTGAGTGATCTCTGTAGTAGACGGTAAAAACAAGCCTTCATGCTCGAAGACAACAAACATTTCTGGGTGACATCCTGTCTTTCTTCCTGCTGGTTGTCTAACCTATGGTTATGCGCTGTCTGGTCCTGTGATGTGTTTCTGCTTCCAGGGGTCACCTGACAGGGCTAGTTTAGAAGTGTGGAAGGATTGCCCCATCTCCATCTCACCCTAGCAAGACTGCCTGCACTGTAACAATTTCCTGCTATTTTTTCTTTCTCTTCCAGAGCTGTGGGAAAAACCTGTCTCCTTATCAGCTACACCACTAATGCATTCCCAGGAGAATACATCCCCACTGTGTGAGTAATGCATAAACAGGTCCTGGAGTGGGTGGGAGGCAAGGCAAGCAGGATGCAAAGGGGTGCAGTAACCCTTTGTTGTGTGCTCCATTGGTCACTGTCTCCATGCCAAGCAGAGGAAGGTCTGACAAACCAGCAAGGGGGCTTTACGCTTTGGATCTGTTACCTTTCACCAGAAACATGAATGACCTCATAAAACGCTGGTATAAATGGGATATTTGGGAGACTCAAGCCAACTCAAGGTCTATCTGCTTACCAAGTTTACAAGTAGTAGATGGGATCCTGCTAGGCAAAACAAACAGGCACTAGGCTACAGGAATTGGGCTGGATCCAAGAGAAGGCAGTTAGATGGACAAGGGTCCCCACTTCCTTCCTTGTACAAGGCACTTGCTATCATTGGAGCAGTCATTGATTTGGTTGGAAAAGACCTCTAAGATCATTAAGTCCAGCCATTAGCCTAGCACTGCCAAGTCCACTACTAAATCATGTCCCTTACAATGTCAGCATACACCATGAACACATTCACAAGGCCTTTGTGTTGGTTCCTTCCTATCACTGGTTTCCCTTGCCTTAATCTGACAAAAAAACACCAAAGGGACCAGGAAATAAAACTTTCTAGGAACATCTCTATTGGTTTAATATCCTTTTTTTCCCATTAAGTCTTTACTCCCAAGCGTGCAATCCTGACAGCTGTTCTCAAATATTTCAAGCTGAGTTGTCAAAGAGTAAGGGGACACATTGTCCTCAATTCCAGCAGGGCTGTTCAGGAGTGCAGGGCTCTGGGGGAGCTACAGAGACATGAGTTCTTCTTCTTCACTTTTAAACTAGGTTTAAAACTAGGTTTCAGAGCATAAAAAAAGAGCATAAAAAAAGATAGGGGCTTGGTGCAAGGGTAGACATAGTTGTGGGAAGGATATCGGGGAAAGAAAGGGCAAATGAAAGAGTTTGTGGATCTGCATGTAAGTATCAAAGGTGGAGCTGCAACCAAGCACTGTCCAGGATAGCTGAATGGTAGGGAGGAGGTTGATGCTGAGTGGGAAATCCATAAGAGGGAGGCTCACAGCATCACTCAGGTGAGCTGAGAAGAGGAATCTCTACCCTTTGCTCCTGGATGTATCTAGTGAACCCCACCTACACTACTGGAAGGGCTCCCTCTTCTCCTGTTTGATCCATGGCCTACGTCTCTGAATTTCAGGTTTGATAACTATTCTGCCAATGTGATGGTTGACAGCAAGCCTGTAAATCTGGGACTATGGGATACTGCTGGACAAGAAGACTATGACAGGCTGAGGCCACTCTCTTACCCGCAGACGGTGGGTCACACTCCATGCCCCTCCTGCCTTCCTCCCTCAGATACACCTCCATTCCTCACTGCAAAAAACAACATGTCCCATGAAACAGTGACAGGACTGTTACTATCTCTGCATTTTTCTGAGAATATCTCTATTGATATACAAGTGCCTTGAAACCCAAAAGTTAAAAGACAGCTAAGGATATTTTGGAGTCTTTATCTAAACTTCCATTACTGGTATAACTGAGCAAGAAAAGCGAGACATTCAAAGACACTTTTGAAGCCAGCTGACACTGACTTCAGTGTGGGGCAGGTGCCTTACACAGGCCTGGTAAAAAAAAAATCTCCTTTTGTAAAGTTAAAGTGGCTCGAGGAATTTAGGAGCTGAGGCAGGATCTTCTCACATTTTTGTGAACCCACTCTGGATTCTGCCTTTTAAAAGATATCTGATGTGTGGACACCTGTTTGATCTGCTAATGCCTGGAGCAGAACAAATGGATGCCTCAGATATTGTGTTCACCATTTTTTTATCACACTGACAGAGTGATTTCAGGGTTTAAAGATCACCTTCCCTAGAGAATGTTGTTTCAAGTAGTCAGTTAGCAAGCTCAGAAAGACCCTGCTGTATCAGGTGCTGGTCTGAAGGTTGCCACTGCAATCAAAAAGGTTAGCAATTGAGGCCACTATTTGTTTGGGCTAGGTTCAGTCACCTAAAAATCAGAAACCAGGTATAAGCTGTTTGCCTAAGCTGCTTTCTGCAGGCAGTACAAGCAGGCATAGTTCTCAACAATATGCTCGTACCCACTCTAGGATGCATCTCAAGGGAAGGTGGGGGAATGGTTCTCCTAGGTTGTTGTCTCTTATGGTTCTAGTAATATGGAAATGGATAGGTGGGTCTGACACCACTGTTCCAGCTAGGTGAAGCTGGATGAAATAACTATAACCTTGATGAGCTGGTTTTGTTTGATTTGGTTATAATGGAAGTCTAAACTCTGCCATGCCATGCCATGCATCTCTTACCTGGAAAACTGAAACTCCACCTCTTCTGAGTCCTGCGTATGCACTTTTTGGGTTGAGCCTAGCTCTGTCTCAACTGTAGGCAAAATATTATTTTGGCCTGAAAGCTCTCTCGTGTTCTGTGAGAAATGAGCAGGACGCTGTCAGGCCATTTCCCATGAGGATGAGTGTGCCAACCACAAAAACCCCATCCTCATAGCTGACCATTTGGCTCTTCTGATAGTGGTGGCTATGGTTACCATGAGTCATGGGAGCAAACATCCTTCTCTCCTCCAGCAGCAAGAAGCAGCAGTCAGGACTAGGACTGTGTTACATTGTGAGAGACAGCTTCCCCTGGCATGACCCTCTGCTGCAGAGGGAGTGTGCTTCCCACACAGATCTTCTCTTCCCTCCCTGACTCCTCATGCCATCCCATGCTCTCATCCTAACTGTACCATGGTTGTATGCCTACAGGATGTCTTCCTGATCTGTTTCTCCCTTGTCAGCCCGGCATCTTATGAAAACGTCCGTGCTAAGGTGAGATGGAGTATCCTGGTCCATCAGGGGGCAAGGGGGATGAGATTGGTGGTGGTCTTGCAAAGACAGTAACTGCGGGAGGAGACTACCAATAGGACGTCTAGGTTTAAAGTGGTCATATCTTTTTTCTGTGGGTCAGAAGGAACTAAAATATCGGCCTCCTTCAGATGCCTTTTCTGGTTCACCTCAAAGAAGGTGGCCAATCCTACTAATGGGCTAGTATTCATCTTGTTGGGCTGTTTTGCTGTCATACCACAGGCTTATATTCTGATGGCATCTTTCAGCCAAGACTGTCAAAGCACAGACATGCAGGATCAGTCCATAGGGTATGAGAAGCAGGTACCCACAGCCTTTAGATGGGAAGTGAGGGCGTAAGGGAGAGACTAATGAAGAGCAGAACAGCAGTATCTCCTTCCTACCACTTTTAGGTTCCTCCTGGATGGGAGGGTGAAGGGTAGAGAGCAGCTTTTGCTTTTGCTTAACAAATTTGAGCTCCATGTCAGGTTTTACCTGAGGATTCAGCAATAGGGAGTGGCCTGGACCAGGTTTTAAGGTCCAACAATATATGTGAGGAAGGACAGGCTGTTAGCTGTCTTGCTGACATTTTTTCTGGAGTGCTTCTTTGTTTCCCTTGTGCATGCCCATATGTATGACCTCTTCTCACATCTTTGCTATTTTGCTCCACTGATAGTGGTTCCCTGAGGTGCGGCACCACTGCCCTAGCACTCCCATCATCCTTGTGGGCACAAAGCTGGATCTTCGTGATGACAAGGACACCATTGAGAAGCTGAAGGAGAAGAAGCTATCCCCCATTACATATCCTCAGGGCCTTGCTCTGGCCAAGGAAATTGGTACGTGTTTGGGGAACTATCTTGAACCTACTGAAAGGAGAGAGACAGAAGATAAGGGTTTCCCCTCAACCTACTAAGGCTTTTGTAGAGGTATCTCACAGTGGAATCTCTGAGGGACACTAGGAGACACATCGAAGGTCATGGGACAAAATGTACTTCGGGAGAAACAGGAAGGACATCTGCTTATTGAGGAAGACTCAACCTGGCAATGTTCTCTCTGGTCACCATCCTCCACATACACACACAAATACATGCTTTTACATTCCCCTCCCTTTTTACTCTGCCACTTCTACCTGGGACAATATTTTTCTGTGAAAGCCACAGCTGCCTTGTGGGCAGAGGCCTCTCCTCTACATCCGGAAAGAGGTAGAAGAGTGAAGTTTTTAGCATCTCTCAGGAAGAGTTGCAACTGCAACTTCCCCTCTCTGCTTCTGTCTGCTGGGGCTTATACATGCAGCCCCAGGTATGAGCTACCATTCAGCTCAGGGGCATCAGCTCCCCTCTGTACCTCAGAACATGCATAAATGCCTGCTGCTCTCTTCTCAGAGGTGGCACACAGAGGTAGGAGAGAGGGTGGGAAACAGTTTAAGGGAGAAGTTTTCAATCAGGAGTTCAGCGGAGGGGATGTCTGGCCAGGATAACATAGCCAGACAATGGCTCTGCTCTGGCTACAAAGGTGGAGAATGGGGAAACCTTGGTCTTGTACAGCTGGCAAGCTTTGCCCTAAAGAAAAGACTGTGAGTGAGTGAAGTGTGTCCTGACAATGAGTAATGTCCTTGATCACTTGACATGTATTTATTCAATTCGGGCAAGAGGCAGGTGCCTTGCTTTCTAGCACAAGCAACAGAAACCTGGGTACCCCACTGCCTACCCCAGCTCCCTTCCTCCCCATTACAACGTCCGGCTTCCTCCCAACAGACTCTGTGAAATACCTCGAGTGCTCGGCTTTGACGCAGCGCGGCCTCAAGACGGTGTTCGACGAGGCCATCCGAGCAGTCCTCTGTCCACAGCCCACCCGGACAAAGAAACGTGCATGCAGCCTCCTCTAAGCAAGTAAGTCTGACGGGGATTCCAGGGAGTGACACCAGTGACACTTTCCTGTTCCTGGACCCAGATGGTCAGGGCTACTGGGTTCCTGTGACCTGCTGAGCCTGGTGGAATGGGTCATCCTCAAAGAGAGAGAGGGAGACAGCAGTCCTGCTTGGGGATAGGACAGGACATGGGATGATAGACCCCAGAACAACTTCCCCCTCCTTTCTGTTTGACTATGGGCAAGTTTGCTCCCATCTCCTGGTGCAGGGCTGCCTAGGATTTTCCACATTTGTCCTCACAGACAAGAACTGTCTGTCCTTCTGCCACAGAGGGAACTACATCCAGGCTGCCCTGAGCATGACCTGCTCTGAGAGCTATGAAGCTGTAACCCTTGTCTAGAGGAATGGAAAAAAAAAAAGAAAAAGAAAAAAAATAGAAAAATCTGTTCCGTATTCATGGCAGCTGCCCAATGGCCCTTCCTCTTACCGAGCCCTGCTCACCTCAAGGGGGTTTTTGTGTTGCTGTTCATTGGCAGGCAGCAGCTTTTCCTCCAGAAGTCCTTTACTCCTCATATTGTCCCTAATTGCCCTTCCACTTCAGCTCAAGTCAACAGAGGGAGGAGAGAGGCTTCAGGATGAGAGGCAAAGCTGGCCAAAGCTTGATGGGAGAGAAGAGTGGGAGCTTCCTAATTGAGACCCTGCCCCTTCATACTCCCACCATCACCAGGGCAGAGGGAGGGAGGGCAGGAAAATAGTTGAGCTGGTATTAGGAGGTCTGTCATGTTTTTGGCTATAGATCCTGGCCCCATCCTGACGTCAGGTGCTGCCCAGCACACAGGAGAGTGACGGCTCCCGCTTCCCAGAGCTCAGCACCTTGTGGTAGTCATTGTGCTTTTTTTTACTTCTGCCGGCTTGAAAGACTGTTGTGGGTCTGTAGCACTGGTGTGTTGGTTTGCACAACTTCCCCACACTCGCCTCACCCCGCCTGCTCCTGCCCTTCTTCCCGGGCCCCTAAGGTTACAGCATAGTGAATAAGACCCAATAAACAGACCATATTCTTGCCATGTCTGCGATGTGTTGCACCATGGGGGGACACAGCCCTGAAGCAGTGAGCAATGGGACAGCTGGGTGGAGGCACCTACCAGCTGTGCCCCTCCTTCAGCAACAACAAGCCAGGCAGAACCACACTGAGCTTCATGAGTCCCAGCCACTATATGATGAAGAGACACGGCATGACTCATGCACCAAGTTGCCAAGTTCTCAGCTGAGCCCCCTGCATTCCTCAGTAAAGTGCAAATATTGTGTGCAGCGGGGTGATTACACCTTCGCTTTTGCCTTTCCTCTTCTCAGTCTCCATGTGTCCAAAGGAAGAGTTGTCTCCCCTCTGAGATCCACTGAGGATGGGGTTCAGGCTTTGGGATGGGACACCCGGACCCAGATTCCTCTTTGTGGGGACTGCCCCTGCAGGTTGCTGTGGACATCCGTTCACCAAAACACTGCTGAATTAATCTGCCTAAGCTCACATCCCAAGGAGCCATATCAGTACTAGCATTCACTCATACTGCTAGGCACAGCCAGAGAGAGAATAGGAAGGGGGAGGGCAGGGAAAAAAATTAAAGAGGGAGGAATGAGTCACCAGTCCAGACAAATTGCCTCCAAGACACTAAAATTAAGCTGAAGAGAGTGGTCCCAGTGGTACTATGGATCTGGCAGCTGTGAGCACCTGCCTTCCTGATGCATTGCAGGGACTTGAGAGTAAGTGTTACAGGGTGGCTGCTACTGACACTGCTTGCAGGAGGGAGGAGGGCTCAGGGTGCAGTGATTGGCACTGCAAAATCCTGCAGTCCTAGGAGGGCACAGAGAAACTATGGAGTTGGGCCAGATTATCACTCCTGGATGCAGCAACACTTCTGAGCTTCAAAGGGTGCTTCCTGCACTGAGGAGGTGCATGGGTAGTGCCAGCTACAACCACCACAGTGAAGCCCCCGAGGTACCCTGCTGCCAGGGAAATTTCTGCAATTTCAATTCATGGTTGGATCTAAATAAGGCAGTTAATTCAGTGATGTGGCACATTGCCTACTGATAAAGTCCAGAGCAACCCTGGAGAGCATCCTGTGGCAGTAAGTCCCACAAATATCTGCATTGCACATGGGCTGCTGGATGAATTGCCCAGGGCCTATCCAAAGGTAATGTAAATTATGTCAACATAAGTCCAGATGCACAAAAATTAAGTCTCTGGTATGGGCATATTCCTGTGGAAGGGCAAGGGACACAAAGCCCTTGAGAATGGGATCTAACCTTCTTTAAACATTCTAAGCATTACTCAAACCAATGTATTCCCAGTGGTTTATTACTTCCTCTCTAGTTTTCAAGCCTTGGCTTTTACCTTCTCAATCTGCCTCATCCCCACGAACAGCAATACCGACCATGTGCATGAAACAAAATTTATGTATCTTCCTACCTGTGGAGGTGCACAGGCTGAGCTCTCATCCCAACACAATTTAAGCAGTTTGCACAACCCTGCTAGAGCTGAGAATGGGGCAGGACTTGAAGCATTGGGGAAGCAATCTGGAGACCTGGAATTTGTGATCCTGTGACTGCGCTTATGCTAGCAAGTCCTGCAAGGGTTAGCAGGCCTGGGTAGAGCTCTTCTGTTGCTTGGCTCTGTTTCTTCTAAGACAGGAGCTGAGGGGCTCCTGCATGGTGCTACAGATACCTGCTCTACCATGGCAAAGAAAACATCTGGGTGCTACCCATGCCATTTTTTCCACAATGAGGCGTCATATCTCTTGTGTGTCTCCAGATAGCATTGTGGTGAAGTTCCGGCCTAAGGCAGCCTGACAGCTTTGAAGTCCTGTACTGCCTTTATCAGCTCACCTATGATCAACACTGGCTGAACATAAAGTTGCTCAAATAGATTTGGAATGCCAGATTAAACCCTGGCTATGTTCTGTTCACAGCCTTCTTCTGTTAAGGCTGGAATTGGCCCTAGGGGCTCAAATGCTCCCAACAGCAGTGCCAAATGTCAAGAAGTGGGTGACTGCACAGCACAAGCAGTCACTGATGTTGGCTGCAGGGCTGGGAAGGGGGTGAGGATGACAGGAAAGGCCTTTGTGCAGGGAATGGTATGGGAAAATCCTCGTGTCCTTCCTGGGAGAACTGCTCAAACAAAGGAGATTAATTTCCTTCCTAGACCCATTTCTTCTGGGTCTACATGTTCCAGCAGAGATGAAATCTAGTAGGAGAGTTTGGGGCTGTTGAACTAGAGCATTTTCCCAATGAAAATGCAAAAGACAAGAGATTGTTCATGGAGCCAGATAAGGGAAGGAATTGAAACATACAGCCCCCTATTTGGCCGTCTGCCCTCATCTCCATCCATCTGGAGATGCTCATAGGGCAGAATAGAAGGGACAAGGGTTTGTGTGCTCAACATCTACCTCGATTTCTGAGCATCTTGCCAGCCAGAAGGTTTTGCCGTGTCCCTGCAGCTCTGAGCAACATGAGTCCTGCCTGCAAGACCCTCGGAACAGGGAGGCCGTCTCCTGGGTGCCTGCCTAGGGAAGCCGAGTCGAGTCACCCCCTCCTGCACACCACTCTCGCACCACATAGCTGCTCTCTCTATCCCTCTTCTTCCTCTCCCTCTCCCCTACACTGTCTTCAGCTTCTTTTACCGCACTCCTCATTCCTTCATCCTCCCAGTCTTCCACGCTCCTCTATCCTTTTGCCTCTCTCCTTGCACCTCTCTCTCCTCCTTCTATTCTCCATCCCGGTGTCTCCTCCCGCTCCTCGTTCTCCTGCCCTGTCGTCCATCCCCTCCTTCTCCTCCTTCTCCTGCCGGTGTTTCCGTGCGTGGCGCCCATTGGCTGCCGGTACCCGTCCCCCGGTGCCGCCGCTCCGCTCCCTCTGCCCGAGCCCCGCAGATGGCGGGGGCAGCGAGGGGGACAGACCCTCCGGCGTGGGGCTGAGGGACAGCGCAGCCCCGGCCGGCAGCCCGCGGGCACGGCCGTGGGCCCCGCTCCCACGCCAGCCACGGAGTGGGCGATGGGCAAGTGCGGGAAGAAGGACTCGCGTCTCCGGTAGAGCACGGTGGGCGCGTTGCCTCCGGGACCGCTCTGCTCTACCGCTCTTAAGAAAGGGGAAGAGAAAAAACATGATACGGATTCTCCCGGTGAAGCAGAGGAAAATGTACATCCCAACGACATGTAAGTACCCGGCGGCTCTGCCCGCGTTTCCCAGATGACACCCGTGGGCGTGAGTCCATGCAGAAGTTAACTCTGCAGTCCCAGAGAAGGAAACCTGCCGACCTCCCCCCCGGCTCCCCACCCTCCAACTCAGCCAGTCCATCGTCGTCCGTACCAGACAGCTCAGCCTCGAGGTGAGACGGCGGAGTCCTGAGCTGGAGCAGAGCCATGGGAAACCGGGGGGGACAGGTGGGGAGGGGGCAAGAGGGGCTGCAGGTTATTGGTCTCTGTGGTCCCTCCCAGCTTCTATTCATGTATTGTAACCAGGTCGAGGCTCAGCTCTTAGCATCCACCTCCTCCTTTCATTCAATGCAGACATTTATATATATATAAAATTTATTTGTTTTTTCTAAAGAAAGCAGTAGCACCAATTTCCCATCTCTTCCTACCTCTCTGCCTTCCTTCTGCTCTCCAGCTGCATGAGCCAGGTACATTCTGGTAGCACCTGTTAGCAGATCCCAAGCCTCTTGCAACAGGTGCTGTCCACATAAGGGACAGACTCCAAATGGATGCCAAAACACTATCAGTCTGAGGCCAAGGTTCCTCTCCAATTCCTACCTATGCCATGTGCTGCCAAAGCAGCCAGCAGAGTAGATCCAAGCTAGATGAGGCACTGGTATCCAGTGATTGTTCTGTCAAACTATCCAGAATGTGTGACATGGTGTTTGAGCTGGTGCGTAGTACTTAACAAAGTTAGAACAGCAGAGACAGACCACACCTGCTTAAAGTTTCTTCACTGCATCTATCTGAGCAGGAAAAATGAGTTTATAGAAAATCCATGGGTTTTGCTGCATGCCCTAGCATTTTTGATAGGTTTTCTGGGGCCCTGAAGCTGGGTTTACTGTATTGCTAAACCACAGCCTGAACAACAAGCTTTGAGATCTGGACCCCAGATACTTCTCCAAATGCTCTTCAGCCCCAGCATCAGTATCTCCATCCACATTTGGTATTTGGAGGGCTCTCTTTTCAAATGTTTGGCTTTTTTTTTTTTTTAATTCATTTGCATGCAGGAGGAACATCCAAAGGAATTCCTAACTACATCTCCACCTTTTAGAGGATAATCTTTTTATGAACATACTGTTCTGGCCTCTGTCACCCTTTTCAGGGATCTTTGTACCTAGAGCAGCCATTGCCCTCCTTTTCCCTCCAACAAGTGATTTGTGTCACTAGAACAGCATTGGAAAAAATATCAGAGGAAAGATCCCTGAGTTTCAAACCACTTCCTACTCTGCCCATTCGTTACAGCCACTCATGATGTGTGGGACAATCCAGTGCTGCAGGACCCCAGTAGATGGGCTTCTATCAGGACAGTGTGTCACAGCCCAAGGCACCTGCAAAGAAAATTTAAACAATTCCAGTCCTCCAAAGCTCAAATGCTTCAAAGCAGGAAACATTCATGCAATAGCCTGTAGAAATGGCCTTAAGACATAGTTGCCCAACTGTGTTTTTATGGGGCCTACCAGATGAAGTTCCTTCAGTATAAGATTGGATACATCTGTGGAGTTTCTTGGGTTTGCTTGTCTGATATCCAATGAATCCATCTAAAGCTCAGGTCTCCCCCAGTGTTTCCAGAACTTGGTATGACATCTACAAAAAACCAGAATAAAAGCTGTAATATTAAGACATTTGTGAAGGAGGCTGTGATGCCAACACATTTGGGAGAAAAGTCTCTGGAGTGTTTCTGGCCTCCTGAAAGTAGTTAAGATTGGGAGTCCTTTCCTTTGAGATTCTCAGTTTTAATTTCAATAGAAAAAGAGCTTCAGAGTCCTAGGAGATTTGTTGAGATGTGTAAAGGTGAGCCTCAGGGTCCTTGTTCCCT